CGATTCCAAACTCAACCCCTCAGGACTAACTTTGGAAAGGTAAAAATATTTAGACCCCGACTCAGGTTTTACAGGTCTATCATAACAGGACGCACAAAAAAAAAAAATAATAAGAATAATCTAAAGGACCCCGGCCCAGGGTTTGACTTGGACAGAAAATCGGCCCTGGTATTTTAGCTGAGACAAGACCCGTGCGCGCACACGCATACACGCTCGTAACCTTATCTGTAACTTGTCAGTCATTGTTTTTACTGTTTATGAGATCCTATAATTACCTTTCTGATTATGCGGCTTTTGCCTTACAATATGCAACAGCTAAACCAACTACAAGTGTGTTCAGGGTTCAAGAATTAAACCTCAACTACTGTCGTGACTCACGCGACTCGTGAGCACCAGACGAATACAAATACTGTGACGTCACAGTCTTAAAATCATCTATGACACCTCATCGACAACCGGCGGTCCCGTACACTTTTTTTTAGTGGTCCCGTGCACCGCCGCCCCGCGCTTGACACGTATGACGTCACGCACGCCAGCCGCGAGGGGCACGTTCCGCACGTCGACACCTAAGACAGTAGCACGAGACGCACTTTGAACCCATTCGAGTTTACGTCGTCGCGCACCGTGAGAAATGACAACAAAAGCGCCACGCGCATCACACACACTCAAGTGGGATGTGTTTGAGGCAAAAGCGACAGTTAATTTAGGTCTCACGTCGAGTATTTTACGGAAGACCTGAATGGCATCAAACACGCTATCGTCTGAGTTAGCCCAGCTAGCTGCTACCCACCCCGCCAAACAGGCTAAATCGCGTCGCCCACTTACTAGCACGCGTTATTGACGTTAAACCAAACCCACACTGTCAAAAATGAATACCACACAGCGTAATAGCCTTTACACGGTTAGGGAAGGAATAAGTGGCGTTACTGTCCTCGTTACGCACACAGGCGTCCACATGAGCTACCTGAAAGCTGGCTCCTCTTTGTTACATCTCTGCGGAGGCGGTGAAAAAGCGCTCTTCTTGTTGAAAAGTTTCTGAAAGAGAGTCGGAGGCATTCTTATAACGAAGAGGGAGGAAGAAAAGACATGAGTCCCTTTTCCTGTTCTTTTTTTCAAATTCACGAACGAGTCTTTCTCCTTGCAACTGTCTCCATGGGTGTCTTAGTCATATGACAGGCATTAGTCACGGGAGCCGCTTGGCAACTGACCTACCCCTTTCTTTTTTTTGATTGGCCAAGCGGGCGACGGAATTATCTGATTGGCTGGCTATTATTGGCCCGCGCACCACGTGGTCCATCTTTGTGCCCCCCCCCTCCACTTCCAGTGTTGATGTTTTGTCGGGATTCCTAGGACACGTAAACGTGTCATCGTTTTTTTTTTTTAATTAACATAAATCCACCAGAAAGGAGCTTTCGTGACAACGAACGAAAAGGAGACATATACAGACAATTAATTTGTTTATTCATGAACAATTTTCTGACAATCAAGGTAGCTTGAAATTCTTTGGACGCAACCACTGGCCCGGGATGATTAAAACCGAACTAAACGACGTACATTCAAATACATATCGCATGTGCAACAGCAACAAGAAACTCCTGTTAGGAAGTTGCATGTCTGACATCTAGTGGCTATTTATCAGCATACAACCAATTAATTTCTACTCGAGGTGTCCAAATGTACAAAAAAAAAAACGAATCCCATTTTTTAAATCTTCTTTCTTCTGTTTTTTTTTAATGGGCTGATCCCAGTGCAACGAGATATTTGGCATCACGGGATGGAGGGTTGTACGAATAGGCAACAACCTGTGAGTCGGGCACGCCGTTCGCAGGCTTGCCGAAAGAACTCCTTCCTGTTGGAGGAGGAATTAAAGCGAAAAAACATGACCTCGCCGTCCCTTTCGGAATCATCCTTCTCATGCGGCATTGGTGTAATCTTTTGCACGGCAACCAGAGGAGTTTTGAAGCGCAGCACCTTCCTGTACGAGATGGGCTTCCTGGGGATGGCAGACTGAAGACATGTGAACAAAGTTGATTTGTGAAATCGTTTTGTTGGCATGAGTTGCTTACTTTCCATGACTTCCCATTCAAGCATTCGTCGGCAGAGCGGATCGCTGAAATGATACAAAACTCACTCAAAATGACAAAATGAATGACTGAGTGGATTACTGTTGTTAATATGATGACCATCATTTACCAGAATGAATTTGAGGATCATCTGTAGTTGATCCCTGGTCACTGCCCAAATTAGATACCATGTTTGAGAAGAGCATGTTAGTGAATTAATTGTGAATCGGGGAAAGGGGAGACGGGTACATCACCTTATCTGGTCATTTGTGTTGACCAAAATGGAGGTGACGTCTGAAAATAGAAGAATGGCACGATATAACTCAAGAACATTTTCAAAACCCTACAATGGATGCTTCCTGAATTGAAGACACCTTGCTTTCCTGACTGTAATCCACCTTGATATAACATCTTCTTCAGAGTTATTAAGACCTAGATTGGTGGTATAGTTGTATAGTCACTGTAGTTGTACTCGCCTAAGCCTCGGTGGAGGTCTCCCGCGAGCAAGCTTTACTCACCGAGGACAGTCGAGACGTTGGGAGGCTGGTAATTGTGGATATTCGCTGCGTGGCTGCTGCCCAGCAAGGTAGAGTTCTTCAACTGGGGGTGCCGGATGTCCACCGGCACGGCGGCGTCCTCGCAGAAGAAATCAAACAAACTAGCTGCAGATAAGTGGGGAAGATTAAATCAATGAAAGCAATTTTTCATTTGTCACTTGGCAGACTTCAGACTTACTATAACTGTCATGTCTGAAGGTCTCTGGGGAAAGAACCGTGCTGGAGGTTGAGGAGTCCCAGATGTCGCCGTGGTCCGAGGAGTCCTTTGTGGTCTCAACTGGTGTCATTGTCTGCCCAGTTTGACGTGGGGAAGAACTCACCTGACACCCGGAACAACCCGAAGTGATATGGTCAACCTTCTCAGCTGCTGCCGATGAGGCCGAAATAGGGCAGACGCTGTTGGTGGAGGTTGGCTGAAAGTGGGATTTGCATTGCAAAGGGCTACTGCTGGTCTGCAGAGATAAAAAGACAACATATGAATCCCCTTCCAGTAGAGTTCATGAAACATACGGGTACTGTTTTGGATGCAAAAAGGTCGAAAATGGAGCCCGAAAGTAGCCATAGTTTTACATTTTTCCCCTCTGAAAAGGTACAAAATGGAGTCCAAAAAGCATCCCTGAACCTGATTATATTTTAGGATTTAACGTCAATGATACAAACGTGTGCAGTACTTGTTAACGGTGGGGAAAAAAGTATCAAGTTAGGTTCGAAAGGTCAACAAAAAATGGAATAGGTACAAAAAGGACAACAAAATGTAATTCTAACGTAATCAGATTACTCACCCGTACGTTACCACTTCCTTCACTGATGCTCCCTTCAGTCTCATGTTCTGGTATTTTTTCGTAAATTTTACATGGCAGACGTGCCCTAGCTTGGAGTCAATTACAGTACATGTATTTTATTTACAGGTGATATTTCGTCGTGTAATTCGCGACAGAGCTTTTCTTACCGTCTCGCCGTGTCTGAGGCACCTTTAAAGGCGTGTCTGCCTTACAACGGGGACCCGTTTTAAACATTTTGGGAAGCAAATGAATAATGAGCTGACACGATGAATTAAACGGTCAAGTTGGTGCTAGCTGAGCTCAACTCATGGCTAACGTCAACCTCTTGACGGTAAGAGTCATGACTCGGCGTAGCTGACAACTAAAAAAAAAAACAAAAAAAAACACGTATAATAAACATATAGTCATTAATAAAAAATAATGTGTGGGTGGGGCTCCTAATATTCAATACGTCTCTTGTCCTTAACTGGCCTGTCAATTAGGTATTACTTTGTAAACCCGTGCCGGAAGTGGATTTGGAACACCAACCAGATCGAGCTAGTTTTACATACAACGATTGTCAATACTACGACATGAATATATTGATTATGTCGTACCTGTATTTATGTTTTGTGTATTATCGCAATATTTAGAGTATTTGTTTTTGACAATAATAATGCTAATAATAATAGATGTAATATTATGGCGGACACGAGGACCATGCTTCTCCTTTTGACTGCCACAATATAGCTTTTAAATGCTTATATATATATTTAGCATTCATTTTATTATATCTACTACAGTATACAATTATTATACATTCCTATAATATTATGTATTTATGATTTATATATAATCACTTTTAATTATCACTAATCAATCATAATAACTGTATATTCTGAGTTTAGATTTAGTTCATAATCTGTAACTATATATGACCCATTTTAATCCATTCATGAGAAAACAAGTGAGACAGTGGTTTAAAACCATTCCAGAATGTTCTTTTATTTCATGAACCTGGTCCCCCTCCTGCCCCCAGTCATTGTCATCATTGTTATAATTACAAGGATATGCTGCTGATTCGATTGCAGAGAAAAGTAATAAATACGTCCAATTTGTCCGACTACACAGACGCAATTAAAAGAATAAAAGTAATAAAAATCCCATTCAAACCGCTGACTCGAGTCGTCAATAAATAAGCTTACATCTATAGCGAAGCTGTCCTCATGTATGTACATACATCATTCATTTTTACACTTTGGGACAAGAATCAATCTTGAAAAGCTTCTACATTATTCGTGTGTGATTAAAAAAAAAAAAAAAAAAAAAACAAGTGGCTGGTTAATTAAAAGTGAAAGGTTGCTTTGTAGTTTCACCAGGGGGCAACTGCATGCACTGCCCCAAGTCCGGTTTTGCCTTTAAAAAAAAAAAAAAAGAAGAGGAAAAAAAATTAACGAGAAAGAGAAGAGTGGTGGGTGTGCGCCTCAAAATGGCCACCATTACTGCTAAGGCAGGAGGTTGAGTGAACCGACAAAAACAAAAAAAAAAAAGTCCATGTGTGGATGTTTAAATGAAACTCTACTGCATGTCGAGGTCGATCTGGACGGGTGAAGGGTGACTTTTTTTTGCTGCTTGTTCGTCAGTGCGCAATGTTGTTGTTTTGGAGGTCTACCCTCACATGGAAATGGTGCTGTAGAGCTGGTCGATCTTCTCCTTGAAGAACTCCCGCAGCTCAGGCCGCTTAGCCTTCAGCGTGGGCGTCAGCAGGCCGTTCTGAATGGAGAACATCTCGCTGTGGATGTAGATATTCTTCACCTGGTTCGAGACATTCGAGTAGAAAATACATTTGGACGCGCACCCTATACACTCAGCAAGAGATAAGTGTTAAATTTAAAAAAAAAACCCCAAAAAAAAAAAAAAAACATTCAGTTGTGTAAGACTCAAAAAGACTGTTAGCTCAATCAAAAGTCTCAAAATCATTCTTGAGACTCACAAAAACACATTCGGTCGGTTCCTCTAAGACTCAAAATGGTCATTGCAAAATGTGTGCACTACGTCAGGTTCATTCAAGACTCGGAATTGTCTTTGAGGTTTCAGAGAAAGATGCGCAGTATGTTCGATTTGTCTATTTAAAGCATGAAATTATCTTTCTTCACCTGCTCAAAGGAATGCAGAGAGCTGGCCTTGCCCAGACGCACCAGATCCTCAAGGATGGCCTTCTTAAGTTCCTATCAACACAGGAATTGTAATTTTTGAGGTCCCTCAAAAATGCCACCTTGCCATTTGTCTACACCTGCGCCACCTACTGTGTTTTTACACAGGTCCTTGTAGGTGCCTAAGATCCCTTTCTTCTTGGCCCAGGTGGGCATGACTTCTGGGTCGGGCACGATAATCCCCACAAGGCAGGACTGCACACAAGGAGCATAAATGTTGAAAAGAAGTAGGGGAAGGGATGGACAACATATGCAGGCTGCAGCAAAGGCCTGGAAAAAGCATTTCAAATGAAGAATGCAATAGTCTGATGAAGGCAATAGGTTGATGTCATTTTTGAAAGTCAGGATCTGAAACATGTCTTCAGTCGACAACAAAAAGAACTTGACATTTTTGGAGGGGACTGTAAGATCTCAAGTGGTAAAGTGACCTGGAGGCTGTCTCCGTGCACGTAAAGCTGGGCCACGGGCTCGCTCCGTATGTAGATGTTCTCGATCTTCTCAGGGGAGATGTACTCGCCCTGCGCCAGCTTGAAGATGTGCTTCTTCCTGTCCACGATTTTCAGCGTGCCGTTCTGCAATCAGGCCAACAGGAATCAATCGGTTAGCAATCGATCGAGACAGTTTATAAAATGTAGGGCAGACGTACGGGCAGCCATTTGCCGATGTCGCCGGTGTGGAGCCAGCCGTCCGGATCCAGCGTCTCTGCGGTCCTCTCGGGGTCTTTGAGGTAGCCCTTAAACACGTTTGGTCCCTTCACGCAAACCTGACCATTGGAAAAAGGGAATTTCTTTATACTTTTTGGGATGTTAAGCTTCATGAAGATTTTGCCAAAGAAACTTTAAATGTACGAAAAACGTCTGTAAACGGCTCAAAATGTTCAAACTTTATTAAAACATTTGGTTCGTCAGCCTCAAAATTATTTTCGACGACCACACTCACCTCGCCCTCCCCTTTGGCAGCAAAGTAGTTCTTCTCGGGAACATCCACCAGTTTGATGAGGTTGCACGGCAGTGGCGCGCCGACGTGACCTAAACGCCATAACAACAAAAAAGTTACAAAAAAAACAAAGACGCAATATTTAAATTCAAGTATATGACAAAATTTGTCTCATTTTATCATATCCTGTATCTTTTGTTTTCATACTGCAACTGTTATCGTAATACCAGTACTGTCCGGCAGGGGGTACTGCTGGGCTACTTTTTGCTACCAAGCTCAGGAGCATTTCCGTGAAATGAACTTCAGTCACAACATTGACGGTTACATGGCAGAGTGCATCCCAACGCACCCAAAAATATGACAAGATTTTAAGAAATTATGCCAACAATCAGGCTCTAATAAATCTATACCTGTATATATCAATTCGCAATAAATAGAATGGATTACTTATTTTAATAATAATAATAATACATTTCATTTATAAGCGCCTTTCAAAACACTCAAGGACACTTTACAATCAAAAAGAGAACAATAAAACCGCAGATAAAATTATAAATAATGAAAGGAGAGATTAATTTTAATGGAAAGAATCATTCTCATTTTTATTGTCATTACACTCCTTGTCTGTGACCACTCTTGCAGATGAATTCGTAAAAAAATGTTTTCGTCAACCCTTGACATGTTGACTGTGTAAAGTGGCCAAACCGCTTTTGCCTTATTTGGTGGTGGCTGCGACCGACCTCAATCCAGCACTTGTTTGATAATGTCGTCAGCGCCGACTCGAATCTTTTATGGCGCTTTTCCAACCTATTGGACCTTGGCTAAGGATCGTGACCCGTTGCATAAGCGATGAGCGCTCACCTGGTGTCCAGTCGCCGGGCGTGGTGAAGGTGCAGCCGGCCGTGCACTCCGTCTGCCCGTACGCTTCGTACACCTGCAGGGGAGAGTTGTTGTGTATTTGCCGGCCTTCTTTTTACACATGCACGGCGGAAACAATGCTATAAAATGACCGTGGAACAGGTTCTAACTCGTGGTAGAGGGTCAGGGACAGAAGGCCTAAATCGTGGGGGGGGGGAATGGGCTATAACCTGGCATCCTAAAGCTGCTCTGAGGAACCCCAACACAGCGGGCGATGTGGGAGCTGCTCCTGTTATGATCATCCTCAGTCTCCCACCCAAGCTGGCCAACTTTTTGTCATGTTAATCCTCCAAGCCCCCCGCCCCACAAACACACACACACACACACACACACACACACACACACACACACACACACACACACACACACACACACACACACACACACACGACAGTCAAGCTCTGTCAGAGATGAACACCATTCATCGTCATAGTTTTCTTATCTTTGTGCTTGTTGACGTTTGCAGAGATGAAATGCATTTTGTAACCATTTTTTTTCAAAGCCTGTGATTTTTATTTATTTATTTATTTATTTATTTATTTGAGTGTTACCTGAATCTTACTGAAGAAGATTTTGTCCCAGACGCTGTCGCTGCGGATGATGCCGCTGCTAACCTCGGCGCCTTTTCTCTTGGCGGCAAAGTTGAGGAGCCAGCGCTTCAGCGGGCTGTTGGCCTGGCTGAAGATCTGCAGACCAGAATGTTTTAAAAAAACTAAAACTCTCTATCTTTTTTTTAATCCCTGGTTGAATAGCACGGAACCTCCTGAACGCACCTTATCGTACATGCGGTTGAGCAGGCGGGGCACCACGGGGAAAATGGTGGGCCGCAGGGCCTTCATGTCATCGGGCAGCAAGCGGATGTCGCCCTGGTAGAAGCCGATGCGCCCGCCGTGGCAGTAGACCACTGACTGGGAAACAAAACACAACAGCGTGGTGGTGATCGTGAATGTAACTCTTTTTCAACAGCCCATTGTATTATGAGACCCGCCCCCATAAAAATTGCAATTTGTAAATTTGTCCAGACAAAATTTGATCAAGTAAAAATATTATTTACCCCACTGCAAGTACACTTTCGAACATGCTTGCTAGCCTCACTATGTAAAAAAAATGATTTGAATACACACTTTGGGAATACATGTTTTTGATTGTAGTCATGAAAGAATCATTTTTTAAAAATAGATGTGGTTTCCACAATTGTCTAGTGATTGTGAAAGAAACCCGAACGTCAGTCAGAGTGGCGGAGTCAACGAAGGCAAATATTTGGACGCCGCAGAGCTGTGCACAACAACTGGATTTAGGGAATGAAGCTTTTGAACAGGAAGCCTAATCCCCCACCCCTCGCCGTCGTAAGTGTTGATCGGAATCATGTCGGAACAACGTTGTAACCGCGCGCGCCTATGCAGGAGGAAGAGTCAACAGGCCGAGAGGGAGTACGAGAAGGTAAAGCACCAGCTGGAGAACTTGGAGGAGAGTGTGCGAGACCGCTGCAAGAAAGAGTTCACGGGTATGTGACAGCAATTGATGGAAAACACACACACACACACACACACACACACACGCACACACACACACACACACACACACACAAATAAACTGAGAGCAGCATTTTTGTTCCTCAGGCCTGAGCCAAACATGTGGCAAGAGGGAAGTGACCATATATGGACTTCCTTCAACCCACGATAGATCGCTGGGCGGAAGGAAGTTCAGTAGGTGTGAGGTGGGGGCACGATAACGGTGTGTGTGTGAGATAGACCACACACAGGAAGACTCCTTACCTCGATGAGCCTCTCGAACATGTGAGCCAGCGGCAGGAACGAAATGAGGCAATCGTCCCGGTTGGGGAAAATCACTTTCTAAAAAGAAGAAGAAAAACAGGATGCAGGGGGGGAAAAAAACGTCTTAAGAAGAGTTGAAAGAGCGAAATAAATGCTGTTGACTTCTTGACTCACATCGGTCACTTTAAGGAAGCCCGAGAAGTCAGCCACCACGTTCCCGTGGGTGAGCATCACCCCTTTGGGGTTTCCTGAGCAGGACAGATAAAACGGGGAAGGTCAAGATAGGGAGGGCCACTTTATTAGGCACACCTGCAAGCTCGTGACAGCCTCTGAATGAAAATTGTATTCATGCATGTGTATACACATCCGTATATTTTTCTGTTATTAATTTATAGCTTAAATAAAATGTAATTTATGTCTTTTCCTTGTGTTGTGCACATTTACAAAATAAATAAAATGAATAAAAAAATGCATGAATCCGGGTTACAGACTTGCAGGCCCACTTCACATTTCCGCTGGAATTTTTCCAATTGTTATTTGGAATATTTTTGAGTGACGGTGTGTGTGGATGGATTGTGGTGTTTGTGGATCACCTGTGGTTCCACTGGTGAAGCACACGATTGAAAGGTCTTGCGGTGAGGGCGGCTATGCAGGGAAAAAAAAAAACAAAAAAAAAACAGTAACGCCATCGTTTCATATCCGTGATTTGATCACTACCTTGGTATGATAAGAATAGAAAATGAGACACTTCTTTGTGCACAGCAATACACAAGTTGGGGGGGAGGTGAATGAATGTTTTGTCAACATTTGGACAAAAAGCAAAATGAAATAATCTGAATGTTTCATTAAAATTAAATTATATCACAACAGACATGCATAAAAATAAAATAAGTCAAAAATGATAAAATAAATGCTAATTAAAAAAATTAAATACAAATGTAATAAAAATCAAAGTTGTCATGCAAAAAAAAAATTAAAAAACAGTTGTTAAAAGTAAAATAAATATAATGAATAAAAATAAAATAAAACGAAATAAATAAATTGTGAGACAAAAACCTGGGTTCTGTTCTTGTATCGTAACTCATTAGATGTACCTCATAACGTGGTTGGCGAGGTCAAACGCGCCCAGTTATTCATACTTACTAAAGGTTTTCGATGGTGATCTCTGCCCAGCGCCTTAGGGACAGACAAGCGAAAAGTGTTTTAAAACTGTGTTTCCTGTTGTTATCGTTTCACGCAAACACACGCACAGGAGTCACAAACCAGTTTGTTGTGTTTAAATGACGTTGATGTTGAAATAACAGTGGCACAGCAAAAAAAATGCTTTGATGTAGCATGTGATTTTTTTTTTTTTTTTTGTCACGCTTCTTAGACTATCAACTGTCGTTGTTCTTCAGCCGACAAACTCGCAACCTGCAGGTCCAGCTGTGCAGAAAATGTGTTGAGCTCTGACAAATGCTTATCGCAGCTAATTCTGTTCTACTTCCACCAAATGAGCGCATATTGACCTGATCTCACGTCACAAATTCCACCGAGAACTATTCGGCCTGACAAACGCTAACGTTTGCTAAGCGTGGCAGCCGTGTGTGCTAACCTCCACTTCCTCCATGGCCTGCACGTGCACGCCGCAGCCGAGTCCGCGCTCCACCAGGGCGGCGTCCAGGGCGTCCATCAGGATGATGTGGCGCAGGGCCGGCGTCTCCGCGCGCTCCACGTTAGCTAGCAGCACTTGCGCCTTGTCCACCTTGTCACAGATAACCGTGGAGATGTCGGCTGCGGGGACACAAATCACACACCAGCGTACCACTCAGATATTTTTAAACTAGTGCTCAATTCATAACAATGTGTAAATAAAAAAAAAATTTTTTGTTTGTTTTTTATTGCAAAAATCAAGTCAAGTCAAGTCAAGTACAACTTTGTCAAATGTCAGATGAAATTTCTTCCCTCTCAAGACAACATAGAACAAGAGGAGCCGCTGCGGGTGCCCGCGCCGCCATCAAAAGAAAAGTTAACATAAAATGACAAAATAATACAAGACAACACATTAGACACAGACAATCGTGCAATCTTAACCACTTTCCTGCCAGACATCTCACAATCAAAAATCACTTGGCAGCAAAACCATATCGACGCATACCTCTTCCGAAAGCTTGCCACCAGTGCATCCCAGATTTGTAATTGTTTTATCAGTCAGTCGTAACGCGCGCTCCATTTTGCTCCTGATGAGTATCTTACCCGTGTTTATGATGAAGCGTATGGCGTCCGGACCCAGCGTGTCGTAGAGGGGCACCACCACCATGGAGTACGTGTAGCATGCAAGCTCTGAGATTATCCACTGCAATACAAAATGAATGCAGTGAAATACCTTTTTTTTTTTTTTTCGGACAAATGACAACATACCAAAACAAGTTTGTTGACGTTAGCTTATTAACAATCAATCGCAACATTTACTGTCTTACTTTTGCTTACTTGTTGGATTATAACCAAGTGGCATCAATTCTGACTGTTCAGTTAGTGAATGCTAACATTTTTAATCTGTTTTATTTAAATTATTATTATTGTACTGATTATATTCTCTCAAGGGAAATAGAGCTAACATGCGAACTTGCTAACAATTAATTGTTTACATTAGCTTACATTAGCTACTGAGCAAAATTAAGTTGAATAAGTGTTCCATTTGTTCTCAGGAGCTATCTTGGGTCAAACTTGACTGATAACAATCATGTTTGACAAAATGCTCCTCACGCTATTCACTGTTTGCTTAGTCGAGCGGACCAGTCAAACGTGATGGATGACAAGTTTGACAATTACAAGTGTGACAAATCCGAGAAAAATTTGTTTACATGAGCTCATTTCAATGAAACGTTGGAGATTACAATAGTGGGACAAATGATAACATGGCTGTTTTCAGTTTTTGGGAGCGTTTTGGTTCGTTAGCATGAAGTATCATTGCTAAGTGTTTGATTTGTTGACATATGCACACTTGATATCAAACTTCACTGACAAAAAAAATTCCTAAAATTACTTGTCAACCTGACGACAAATACTGCCATGTTCATGGAAGTGTATTTACCACCTTTACGCCACCATTTTATGTCTCTTGTGTTCTCTATGGACTATTTCTTGAGTATTATTTTTAGTTTATTCCTTTGTGGTGGGCACAAGAAATGTCATGACACACGTTACGTTGCCAATAGAGCTATTCGGTTGTATTCATGAACCGCAACGTTGACGTGTTTTAGGGCTTTATGGCTGAGTGGGAAGGGGAGGATAACCTCGGGCCGGTTCTGAGCAAAGACTCCAATGAACTGGTCCGGACTGGCCTTGCAGCCCTGGTGTAGCAGGCCCGATCCCAGATGCTCGGCCCGGGAAGTGACCTGCGGGAGCGCAACAACACAATGACAATATGGTGTTGTTATCAGACGACACACCCAGATGCACATTTTGCAATGATGCAACGAGCTCTAACTGGAAGTCATGTGACTTATCTTAGGGAAACCTCAAGTGCAACGGGACTCCTAATAGATACACATATCAAATTTCAAATGACGAAGGGACATTTTTTTTTGTGTGTGTTTCATGGCGAGTCCAAAAAAAAAAAAAAACATCTGGCAATATAGCATTGTCCAGACCAAAATCTCGACGCCTGGAAATTTCTGTTTCAAAACCAAAATGTCGGACTTTCATTTCACCTCTTTGTAGGACATCCATTTGTAAGGCTGGTTGGGGAGTCGCGAGCCTAGGCAAGGCCCGTCACCTGCGAGGAATGAGATGACAGCCGTCACCACGGCAACCAAACCTTGCATGGATTTGAGGCCTCGGTCGCTTTGACTGAGCGGCGCCATCCTCGTATACCTGATATATGGAGGCCTCGCTGGAAGACCTCGTACATTGTCCTAGCGTCGTCGTGGTAATGACTGAGCAGCTTGGAACTGTCACCCATCATGGACCTGCGACCCCCATCTTCACGCTTCATTGAAAGACACACCCAATACAGCTCGTGTGAATGCATGACACATCAAATCTCACATCTAATTAAAGTTCCCGCCCGGTGCTTTCCAGATCTGTACAGTAATTACTTTCAACCATAATTCTGTGTGGTCTTACCGGCACCTCCTCTGACTGGTGCAGGAGGCTGCATGGTGGTTTAATGGGGCGGGGCCTGGTGGCCAGCCAGTAGGCCAGCACGGCGGTGAGGGCGCCGATGCCCACCAGAGTGGAGGTGGGCAGCGAGCTGAAGAAGTGGCCCAGCTCGCCCATGTCTGGCACCCTCAGGCCGCTAAGCATCTCCTGGGCCTGCATCTTCTCCATCAGCGTCGAACTCAGCTCTGTGGGACGACAGATAAATCCTCAGCGCCACCGCACCATGTTGCGTTCACTGTCCACCGAGGCTGCGGGAAATGACGTTGAGTTGTGTTGCCTTCACTCTCAAATAAAACAGCGGCAATGTTTTGTGTGCCAAATAAGCTGTGTCGGGTTAAATGTCCATCTGAGAAACGCTGTGTCATCTAAAGAGCAGCATTATGTTGCGTTCAGGGTCTCAGAAAAAGTTACCCTTGTCAGGGTAAGCGGCTCGGAGAATAGATGGATGATTGCATTCAAGGTTTACTTGGTCGCAGCGTGTTGCGTTCAGTGTCCAAGGAAGCAGAGGTGTGCTGCAATCAAGTCCAATAAAGAGTCAATGCGATGCATTCAGTGTCGCTGACGACAAAGGCCGACAGGATTCATCAGCATTGGCAAACAGCGACAGTCAAAGGGTTGGGTAGAAAGTTGGCCGCCAAATCTAAATATAGATGTGATCCGCAATCTACGAGCATGACTGTGCGCACACACAAAAACACACACCCACGCACACACAAACAAACACGATAGTGACACCCTACAATTCATGATGACAGTGATCTCTCACTTGGTGTGTTCTAAAGCATCACTTATGAAATTCTCCCAAGAAAGTGAAACCGCTGACGAAACAATACACATTTTTCTTGCAGGCTGAGTGACAAAGAAGGCTCATGAACACTTACAGTGTATCGTTAATGTATTGCAACCTTGGCAGAAGACTTTACGAAATTAAAATGCTACTTTTACAGCGCTGCTAACAAAGCAACAGTGTGTCGAGTGGACTAATAACTGTGTTGCATTCGGTGTCTAATCAAGCAGCAGTGTTGTGGTCACTGTCTAGTGGGAAGCATTATGGTATCTTCAAGGTAAAAGGAAGCACCATTGTTAGGTTCGCGTCTAATGCGGCAACATTGTCACGTTTGCCTTCACTGTCAACTGGAAAACATTGAGTTGCGTTCAGGGTCTCAAACAAAGCAACATGTTGCATTTCAGTGCTAACCGTGAAGGATTGTGTTGCGTTGGCGTTTAACATCCGGGCATCGTGTTGCGTTCAATGTCTCTCAAGCAGCATCATGTTGCATTCAGGGTCCAACAAAAGAATGTGTCGTGGCTATTGGAGGTTTACTCAGCTGTTTTGGATGTGTGAGATATCAAACTAAGTGTCCTTTAGTAACTCCACTAGCTCCCCACGGGGAGACGCAGAGGTTGCGGAGTTCTTGAACATGGCCCGCTAGAAGGTTTGTTGCTACAGCTGGCGCCACGGCACCAACACAACTTCGGTGACCTCTTGGAAATATTCTAAAATAGTTCCTAATGAAGAGGTGAAAGCACATATTTTGAGCAGCACTCGGTTGCATTCAGGGACTACTTGGTAGCCATCAAATTGTTCTTTACGGACTCAATGAGAGGCTTAAAAAGAATGTCAAATTTTGGACCTCTTTTTGGCCTCCTGGTCAAGGTCCCGGAAGCACCATGGGCCTAGGTCCTGAAAGGTCCGCCCCATCAGGCCATCGAAAGGCTGTTGCCAGCGATTAGCATCCAGCTTGAGGATGTCAAAGCCTATTAGAGCTGAGACGGGATGGACGCTTCTAACCTAGATCTATCTCTCTCTCTCTCTCTCTCTCTCTCTCTCTCTCTCTCTCTCTCTCTCTCTCTCTCTCTCTCTTTCCGTCACTCTTCAGCTCGCTTTATCGCCACTTGATAGCGTTGTGAACAGATGTCAGGCTTTAAAAACCACAGTGTGACATCATCAATAGCGGACGCGTCATTTCCTGTAATCGCCACGTGCCCATGCATTCAGAGGTCACGTCCTTCTCGATTGCACAGCTGTGGTGTGTAGTCAATGCAGCCCAAAAAATTAAATAAATAAAATTACATTACTGTAACCTCTTTTTTTTCTTAAAAATGACCACTTTATTCTTTAGATTCTATTCTTAACATTGGCAAAAAAAAAAACAACTACAAAACCATGCTTTCTTGAATCCTCTGAGAATTTAACTGAGTCTAGTGAATTATTTGATGTAAAATGTTATAAAATAAATAATACATTCTAACGCTACGCTAATTGGCATTGTGAAGCTCAACATGAAGTCAAAATACGCTTCACACGGGCCCTCTGCGGTGATTAGCGTCTCATGGCTAACAGTGAGATTAGCCCCAAAGCGTGCGAGATGTCACACCACCCTGTTTGGCCCCTCCCACTTTCTGTATCCTCACAATGTAGTTAAAATTTGAGTTAACTTAAAATTGCAAAAGGCTCAACTAGTAAACACATAATAATTTATCAATGTATAATCTTCCCTCTTTGAAGCAACAACAAAAGTGACAAACAGAAGCACAAATGCAAATGAATGGAAATGGCCTTCAAAACAACCTCCTGCTTATTTGACTACCATCCATGAGGCGTTTAGGGCCTCCATGTAAACTGAAAACTCACTTTTAAAGTGATTACATGCAAAGCGAGGTGGCTTCAGGACATGTCAGCGACAGCTACAGATAGATGACACCCAAATTTGTAAAAATAAATAAATAAATAAATAAATATAATAAAAATAATAATAATAATAATAATACATTGTGATCAAAGTCATTTTTTCTGATTATCTCAAACACAACGCAGAAGAACAAGCCTGATTCAGCATTTATTTACCTGGCAGCCATTATGTTCCACTCTGCCATGAAGTCATAAATGCTGAGGAAGCACTTACGAGCAGAGGCACTAACACTGCAAGACATTTCATGCCATTTTTGTGGGGAGAAGAAGAAAAAAAGAACTTTTTGGATGCATTTTTTGAATGTGTTGCTGCTCCATGTGTATGAAAAAAGCAGCTGATTCCAGATTTATCACGACCGTAATATCGATTCCATTTGTTCATCAATGGCGTTTCTCGTTATATGTAAGCATCGACAAGGATATGGCATGACAATATGAAACTCCGCTTCTCACCTCAACGTACTTCACAGGCCTCAAAGTCTTTCAGTAAATAACAAAAGAATATGTTCGGTTTTTTGTTTGTTTGTTTGATTTTTGCATTCTTAACAGCTCAAAACAGCAGTAGGACATATTTAATTGAAATGTAAAGAAAAGGAGTACAGTGACACACATTGTGCTCAGTAGCATGAATTTTTAACAACACACATCAGCAACCAGGTCATGGGACGGGATACAGTGACAGGTGTCATATATTTTTAAGGATGGGTGTATTTTTTTTTAACTGCAAAAGGCGCATTTTTCCTAGAATATGCAATTCCTATTTTTAGAATAGTGATACTTAAAGTAGCTACACAGGCTCCCTCTTTGTATAAAGTCACAGTGGTTTGCTTTTAATGCGATACAGTTGTTCAGTACTATTCAGTTGTATTTATCAAATTAATTGAAAATTAGCACAAAAACATAGAATAATGCTTTCACAACATGTCGCTCTTCCGAATATTTTGAGAAGTGATCCAAACGTCCCATGTGCTGTGCGGGTCCCTAATAAAGTGCCCCCTTCCTCTCTCCCCTTTTCCCCCCTCCCCCTGTTTTTCCAGCACCACCTCTCGCGTGAACAGCTCCCGCACTGTCGTCCAATCAGCTTGGACCTTCACGTCATAATCAAACCCCCCCCCCCCCACC